CTGCTCCAGATGAATGAATGGCCTCACCGCTGCTACTGGTACTTCAGCAGTAGCTGGACGTGATATTTACGAGGCTCCAGTGTATTTAAGAGGAAACACTCGGAGTACTCTGGTCGAGTACCCGCAGTAAATCGCATCTTATGTCACACTTGAAAGTGCAGTAGTAGTAGTAGTAGTAGTAGTACTACGAGGGTCAAAGTGGTATCTGTTGATCGAATCAGAGACAAACCTGCAGAGCCTGTTGGTGCAGGGACCTTCCTGTTAGCTTGACTTCATGTCCAGAGCGCGGCTCCAGCTGATTAATCTGAATTTCTGAATCTCCTAAAAAAAAAAAAAAAAAAAAAGTGCGTATAATGGGGCTGGGCTGCGTCATGTGACACCTGGTGGCGGTTCTGGGTCTCTACTTGTTAACATCACTTGATCAGATAAAAGTCTGACTAATTGTTGGGTTGGTGGCAGAGCTGCAGGCATCGACAACTTCCCCGAGCAGCGCGTGGAAACAGGAGATCAACGACCTGACGCTGCGTTAGCCTTGGGAATACACGTAGAAGGAGCAAGTCAAAAAGTTCTAAGATCATTCAAAGGAAGTCAGTTATTGACGTGATAATATCCTTTTTTTAAAAAAAACGTCAAAAATCACATTTGCCAGTGAGAGAATTCCTGCTCTGAAGGATTTCCTTTGCACCAAGTCTCAACATGAATCTTGGTCTGAACAACTGAAACCCAGTTTGTTTTGATTGTTATTTTTGTAAAGCTGTAAAGTTATGTTAACATGTTTCTATCTGCTCTGATTTGAAAATTGTGCAACACTTGACCATGATATACTGCAATGAAAAAAAAAACTGTCAAATGTTGGAGACATCGAAGGCAACACCTGAGAGACGGATTTGAACACATTTTTCTCTGGAGTAAAATCAATCTGCTTTTCACGTCTTAAGACTTTTTGACTCTACTACATTTTCAGTTCCTCCAAAGAGTTGAGGGACAACCGTCCAACTACTGTGTCCTTATCAGCAGTAATCTGTGGTCCGTCACATGTTGAGGCCTGAGTTAGCTGATACTGGTCAGGATCACATGATTACATTAAAAAAGTCATGATCGTCTTTGTCTTTACTACGTCGACTACAACTACTGCGTGTACTACTACTACTACTACTACTACTACTACTACTACTACCACTGAGGCTGCTGTTACTTCATCTCCTGCTTCTGTTTCATGATGTCGTTTTTTTAAAAGGCCTCAGTTTGACAGTGGGTCACCGGGTGTTTTGTTTACGGTTTATTAAACTGTCAAATAAAAGGATATAGAATAAAACGAGCGGTGAATCAGGAGGACGAACCAGAAGCTGGTCGTCTTCACTGCAGTTTTTTTTACCCTTGTCCAAGAAACGAGGACCGTCAGTGGTTAAAGTTGGAGGGAATTCTGGGTGTTCCAGCCGGGGTAATTGTGGGGTTGATGGGAGAGTTGCAGGCTAAGTTAGGTCGACTGCAGCAGAGGAGTTCACGTGTCGGGAGCAGCTCTTTAACCGGAATATTCTTCACTTTGTCTCTTCTCAGAAATCTTCCCGAACATTAGGACGCAATAAATAAATAAAGAAGATTGGATTATTTAGAGGACAGTAGCTAACGTTAGCTGTGGTGTCTGTACCAGGACTGTTGAAGGAAACGTTAGCTCTGGTGTCTGTACCAGTCCTGTTGAAGCTAACGTTAGCTGTGGTATCTGTACCAGGTATGTTGTAGCTAACATTAGCTGTGCTGTCTGTACCAGTACTGTTGAAGCTAATGTTAGCTCTGGTGTCTGTACCAGTACTGTTGAAGCTAATGTTAGCTCTGGTGTCTGTACCAGGACTGTTGTAGCTAACATTAGCTCTGGTGTCTGTACCAGGGCTGTTGTAGCTAACGTTAGCTCTGGTTTCTGTACCAGGACTGTTGTAGCTAACGTTAGCTCTGGTGTCTGTACCAGTACTGTTGAAGCTAATGTTAGCTCTGGTGTCTGTACCAGGACTGTTGAAACTAATGTTAGCTCTGGTGTCTGTACCAGGACTGTTGAAACTAATGTTAGCTCTGGTGTCTGTACCAGTACTGTTGAAGCTAACGTTAGCTGTGGTATCTGTACCAGGTATGTTGTAGCTAACATTAGCTGTGCTGTCTGTACCAGTACTGTTGAAGCTAATGTTAGCTCTGGTGTCTGTACCAGGACTGTTGAAGCTAGCTAGTGATCTCATCTTCCGTCACTGCCCCCTGCTGGCACTCAATGTGTCCTGTGTTTGTGCATCTTTTCAGTGGCTGGCAAACAAATTTGAGGTACATTACTGCCACCTATTGGGCTGGAGTGTGTACACCCAGTAAATGTGTTATATTTTCTCCGTTGAATTCTGAATTCTCTCATTTATCGCACGCTGAAAAAAAATGATCTGGTGTCACTCACATCGCTGTCAGTCGTGCGTTTCACAGAAACTAATTCAGAAATGTCGTCTGGGAGATAAAATTGCTTCAGCGGATTCTAGATCCTTTTTGGATCTACAGGACTTATCTTGTACTGAAGTCGCCCAGGGTGCAGTGCAGCGTGTGTCCAGGTGGGGAGAACTGCCCTTCAGTAATTGGGATCCTACAGCGAGATGTTTACGAGGAGCACCGCGAGGATCAGGAAGCACCTTCACGTTCCCCCGAGGTTCAGGGATGAGCGCTCACGCCGCCCGTAGCACGGCCACACGTTTGGCTGCAACACCGCACAATCTCGGTGCCATCAGCGTCACGGCGGAGGGTAGCCTCACTCTCATCAGCAACACCACCCAATCACAAAGCTATCAGTGGAGCCGCGGAGCTGCAACCGCTCCACAGTCCCCTGGGTGTGCTGCTCACACTCACCTCCTCTCCTCACTCATTACCTCCCTTGTTACATCCTGCTCTCCTTTTTCTTTTTTTTTTCTTTTTTGCCTCCCCCCCTTCCCTTCCTTTACCCCCTTTTATCACCCCCAACTCCCTCCTGTCCAGTAATGGATATTGGAGGTGTGATTAGTTGAGCTTCAGTCATTCTCCCATACCATATTTTCTATTCGCTGCCTGCTGCACAGACATGTTATCGTGAGGCCCATAAATGTAGTCTGGTGAGACCGGAGCAGAGCAGAGCAGAGACCGCAGCGCGGGGCCTTCATTGGTTTGAAGCTCCGCTGCACAAACCGCTCGTTGGTGCCGGAGGAGAAAATAGTCCAAAATTGTTATCATTTTCTATAAATAATCCGCAAAAAAAAAAGTATAAAGTAGCCGTCGTCAACATCCAGGTGCTAGTACAGGGTTAGCGTGAAGAGCGTGCGACCTGCGGGGTTTTATCAGCGTCACGTTTATCGTTGGTTAAACAGCCAGTTTTAACTGCTCTAATCACATTTTACTACATTGATGTTCACGTTTCCTGTAAGCCGCGCTGCCAGTGTCACACTGGAGACTTTTA